CCATAACCAGCGAAGCTCACTTTACACAAACAAACACATCGAATCCTCCTCAGAGAGAGAAGAAGAAAACAACAACAAATCTCCGGAGATTCAGGAAATCGACGTCGGAGATTTCTTAAGACGGTGTGAAAAAGAAATGGCGGGACAATCTCGAAAATGGATGATTCTGGTTGCGACGATCTGGATTCAGGCTTTCACTGGTACGAATTTCGATTTCTCGACGTATTCGTCGGATTTGAAATCGGTTCTAGGGATTTCTCAGGTACAATTGAACTATTTAGCCGTCGCTTCCGATCTCGGAAAAGTTTTCGGTTGGTCGTCGGGATTAGCACTCTTGTATTTCCCTCTCTGGACGGTTCTTTTCGCGGCGGCGATTATGGGTTTCGTTGGTTATGGTGTTCAATGGCTCGTTATCACTAACGTTATCTCTTTGCCTTATATTCTGGTAAAACAAAATTTCCCATACATTTCAACATATTCTCTGTGTCTCTGTGTTTTTTTTTTTAATAGCGAATTTTCATTAGCTATTACGTGTTATTCATTTGACTGGTTGGTCTTACGTGTTATTTCTTTGGCTTGTTTCGGTTTCTTGAGGATCTTTATTGGTTCTTGTGATCGGATCTTCATTTTTGCGTATATGAATATTTTATCTTTGTCGCCAAGTTATTTAAATAGTGTTTTTTCTTGCATTCTGAAGTATTCTTTTTGATGAGATTGTATTAGAGGATCTTTGTCATGTGATAAATATTATATTGAATTCTCAGATAGAAGTATTACATTGGCTCTATGGGATTATTGAACTATCTTCCTTTGAGCTTACTCAATTAAAAATAACTAATTTTTTTGACTATAAGTGAAATTGCGACTAAGTGTGGATTTCTGTGATGTTTTTGGCAGGTGTTTCTCTGCTGTTTGTTAGCTGGGCTAAGTATCTGTTGGTTTAACACAGTCTGCTTTGTGCTCTGCATCAGAAACTTCCCTGCAAACAGATCACTTGCACTTTCTCTCACAGTGAGTTTCAATGGTGTTAGTGCTGCTTTATACACTCTTGCTTTCAACGCAATCAATCCTGTTTCTACACAGCTATACCTTCTCTTAAACTCCCTTATACCTCTTATTGTCTCTTTCGCTGCTCTCATTCCTATTCTTCGTCAACCGCCTCTTGAACCTCTTCCACCAGATGGAGTTCGAAGAGACTCTCTTATGTTTCTCTTGCTTAACATATTAGCGGTTTTGAACGGTGTTTATCTGCTTCTCTTTGGTTCGAAGACTTCTGATGTTACCTCGGCTCGTCTTCTCTTTGGTGGATCCATTCTTCTCTTGATTCTTCCTTTATGCCTTCCTGGTCTAGTCTACGCTCGCAATTGGTATCTACATAATATCCACTCCAGTTTTCGTTTAGAAGGTTCTGGTTTCATTCTTGTTGATGTCGATGAGCTTGAGATGCATAAAGGAATGGCGACACGTGAAGCCAGCCTTGATGGATATCAATTACTTAACAATGATGTAGGGCGAACCGTCATAACTCCTGATCAGAAGAGTTTCATTGAAGATGACAATGTATGTTGTTGCAGTCAGCTCATTACAAGAAATCAGCTTGGAATGCTTGGAGAAGAACATCCTCTATCTTTGCTCTTAAGCAGATCAGATTTCTGGCTTTACTATATAGCGTATTTTTGCGGTGGCACGATTGGACTTGTCTATAGCAACAACCTGGGACAGATTGCACAATCTTTAGGACAAAGCTCTGAGACCACAACCCTTGTCACGCTTTATTCGTCTTTCTCATTCTTTGGTCGATTGCTGTCAGCAACACCGGACTATATCAGAGCGTAAGTCCCTTACAATAAGCTTTTGTACTCCTGATTCTACCTATCATGACAAGATTATGATTATACTGAAATGTGAATTGTGCAGGAAGTTTTATTTTGCTAGAACCGGGTGGCTAACCGTTGCTCTATTACCAACCACAATCGCTCTTTTCTTATTGGCATCATCAGGAAGCTTGTCAGCGTTACAAGCAGGAACAGCTTTAATCGGTCTAAGCTCGGGTTTCATATTTGCAGCAGCGGTTTCCATAACATCTGAGCTTTTTGGACCTAACAGCGTCGGGGTTAACCACAATATCCTCATCACTAACATACCGATAGGATCGTTGGTCTACGGTTTCTTAGCTGCTTTGGTCTATGAATCCCATAGTATGGCTGGGTCAAAGACCGAGTCGGTTATATGTATGGGACGAGACTGTTATTTCCTAACATTTGTGTGGTGGGGATGCTTGTCGGTTCTTGGACTAGGTTCAAGTGTTGTCTTGTTTCTGAGAACTAGAAGAGCCTATAAACGTTTTGAACAAGATCGGATAGCTTCAAGCATGCTCTATTCTTAGAAATTCTACTCCAGTGGATAATATTGGGGAATGAGTTGATAAATGACGACTTAAACTTGTGCAGATCTGTGTTGGTGTCACAAAAGTTTTGATCTTTTTTTTGCAGAAATAACTTTTGGTCAGGAGAGACTATCAGATTTTCTTTTGTGGCAATGGATCGGTACGTTGGACCCGGCACTTTCCAACTCATGGTTTAGCGACCTGGAACTTTTCCTACCGAACCAAACTAACGGGGTTTTGAGTTTTTTTTGGAATTGTTGTAGACTTGTGACATTTTGAATGAAGTATTGGTGTTAGTGTTAGAAGTTTCTCTATGGAATTTAAAATTATGGCTTAAACATCAACATTCGTTTTAGAATCGTTTCATTAAAAATTATGAACTATTGGTATTAGTGTTAGATGTTTGTCTTTGGAGTTTGCAAGTCAGAAAATAAAAATAAATTGAGCTAG